CAAAGCAAACCACGGGGCGCTGGAAGAGCCCGAGCGTCTTGCGTGTGGGGGGCACGGTCGTCGAGATTTCCATCAAGAGCCGGTCGTCGTCGGCGTCGTTGGCCGTGCGCACAAGGAGCGATCGCTGGTGCAAGTAGTGTAGCACCTCGGGCACGTGACCGTGGTGTTCGCGCAGCTTCTGGAGCGAGTGCGACCAGAACTTGGGCTCGAACCGCCGCGAGTGGGCTCGCTTGCACCACAGGAAAAGCGCCATTTGGTACGACGTGAGGCGGTGCGCGTCGCGCGAGATGCCGCTGTTGAGCAAGTCGTATTGGAGCAGATTCGGATCCACGACCAGATTCCCGAGCCTGTCGAGCATGACGGTCGTGCCAACCTCTGTGAACGAGTCCCACAACGTTCGCAGCTACATCAGAAGCGATTGCATACAGTGGATCCGCGAGATTTAGACGCACCGGCGTGTGGCAGACCGGGTCCTGGGCGTTCACAAAGCGAAAGTTGGCCGGCACGCGGGCGTTGTAGACGCGCTTGTACGCGTTGCCGCCGACGCGCGGACACCCAAAGGTCGTGCACGCGACGCGCGACGCACCGTACTTGACGGCCGCGTCGAGGCTGCAGAGCGTCGCGAGCGCGCCGCCAAGACTATGACCCGTAAAGTACATGCTCCGCGGGTTCTCCTCGTTCATCGGTTTCGAGGCGAGCGAGGACGCGGTCGGCGACGGATTGGTAGGCGTCCCAGAAACCACCGTGGACCCACGGCGTCTTTGTCTTGCAAAAGTTGGGCCGAGAGATGTTGTGCGGCACAAAGCGCGACCGCTTGTCGCTGCCAGCGGCCGGATGCAAGGTGTACTCGGCGCACATGTGCTTGGAGGCATTGAGGTCCGTCTTGTAGTTTTTCCAGCTCATCGAACCGCGGAAGGCGACGATGATCTTGTCGGTCGAGTGTGCGATGAGGCAGTGCGTGTCGCTTTGGGGGTCGTGGAGGTGGTCTGCCAGCGCAAACTCGGCGCTGCCAATCATCTTGTGGAGATGCAGAAAGTCCTGCGAGTAGTCCTTGTTGCCGCACGCGTACGCGAGGTACGCAAAATTGAACATCTCGATCTGGTCCTCGAGCACAAAATGGCGCGGCTCGACCACGAGCGTGTTCTGGAGCATGTCGACGAGGCGAAAGTTGGCGGTTTGGTGCACGTCCGAGGCGTGGCAAAAGTACCGGATGCGGTGCGTCGGGGCCGCGAGCGCGTTGGGCGACGAGACAAACCAGCCGCGAAGACCAACGGCGTCCGTCGGCAGGCAGGCGTACCTATCATAGTATACCAACACGGTCAATCCAAAGCATGGCGATATTGTGAGAGAGAATTTTACATGGCCGTGACGAGCCACCCTGCGATGGTGAGCTTGAATCCGAACGTGACGGCGAGGCTGCCCGTGCAGCGAAGCGGGGTACCATCGGCGCTGTAGTAGTTGATGGGGAGAAACCACGCGACGAAGTGGCCGCTCGCGATGAGCACCGAGATCATCCGCGCGTTGTAGTACATGAAAAAGTTGAAGGCCGTGAGAAGCTTGGAGAGGTTGCGCACAAAAGTCTCGCGGAACGACCGGCGCACAGCTACGATCTCGGCCCACGCCCACAGAGAGAAGCCAACATCGCACGCTGTGACAATCAAGGTGGCCGTGACGACGCTGAGCGGTGGCGTCACGGTCGCCTCCTCCGCGT